TCATAAGCTTGTTCCTCACACAATTTTCCACGAAGGAACAGGCAGCTTCGGCAAGCTATACAGCGGAGGTCGGAGCAACTTGGTTTTCTGTGGCATAAATGGATAGAATAAGCCGTATGCCGCAATAGAATAACTACTGCTTAGAGAATATTTTTCTTCTCTCGTATCCCATCCGGAAGCTAGCTTCCTCTCGTGGTGGCGTCGTTTCTAAGATAGTTCAAGACCGCGTTCCTTACTCAGTGAAATACCCTCTTTCGATCCCTCAGCGTTACAGCAAACAAAGAAGCGAGGGAGATACGGGTAACCACTCTTGCTTACAGCGTTTCATGTAAATCCCTCCACTGTTTCTCTCTCACCTGCCGTCGATCTCTACCATAAAGCAAAATCTTCGGTAGCATTTTCTGTGGCTTTGGAATATTTACGGCAAAACCTACGATCAGAAAAACTATGGCATCAATTATAGAGAGAGCTAAGTTGATGAACATTATGCACCATTGTTATCGTCGTACGCTGCAAGTAGTAGGTTGGCAGCAATATCTCTCATGGAAGCTTCACCTATCACTAAACAACATGTGGCCCCTTGGCAACTGCTTGTGTTCTTTGTCGCACGCTGTTGCTGCATTTTCATTCCGGAATGCTTAACCTCACACATTTGTGAACTACTATAAGCACGTCTTTAACGTCTTCTGCTGGTTACCGCGAAATCCGCGCCTTAGTTTGAGTATAGAAAGTAGTAGTTCTACTCAGTTTTCGAATCGAACAACACACGAGCTTCCTTTTTCAAGAACTAGCTCCGTAATCTTACATAACGAAATCTGCACTCGAGTCCTCTTCAAACTAAAAGTTGTGGTAGTCATGGAAGGGAAATCACACTCGGTGCTAATGTGAATAGATGCGTTGATGAAAGCTGACTGTCGATTTCCGATTAAGGACGTGTCACCCCTTATTTTTGTCGTGCCTTGAACTTGGGCTGTACTCTGTAGAGTGATTGGGACACTTGCTGTGGGAGCGTGTGGACTATAAGTTGGGTGCCTCATTCAGCAAAAACCATCTTTGTCGAATCATTAAACCTCTCAGTCACTTAAGAAATCGGTAATTGACCCCAAACTGTTTGACAAGGTGAGAAACTGCTCGTCATCGAAAGGATGCTGAGTTTTGAAGGTAAACCCCGAAAACTGGATGGAATTCGAACCGCTTTCATGATATCTAATGAAGCATTTGTTTTTTTTACAGTCATGCACATCCCCACTTAATTTCAAACAATTTGTAACGCTGGCGTAAAAGAGGAAGAAGGGCGATTCAAGTGTTATTAGTGAGATCATGGCATAATCCCATTCATCCACCCTAGGATCGATCTGGTGAACGATTTCGAAGTTCTGAAACATACATAGGATATACATATCTTTCGCAACTTCGCAGCTTCCCGCTCATTTATTTCGTTACAACTCTTACTGTTGTCTCATTTTTACATATCTGAATTTGATGGTTGTCATACCGTTCCACCTATTGAATACGACATCAAATTGGTCATGCTGTCTCCATTCCCACAGAAATGCACCTTACTGCTCTGAGTATTCTTGAGCCTCTCCGTGCAGAACTCGCAAGTGATGGCATAGAGTGCTTCCGCAAAGTGAACTGTACTGCCCATGGAGCACTGTCCTTCGCTTTTTATACGGCGACATAGCCCTTCGGCACCCTTGCCTCCCCATGGCTGAACCAGTGACACGCTAGAGGAAGAAAAACGAAAAAAACGTCTTCTTGAGATTCAAGCATGTTAAGTTCGGGAAAAGAGTTGATCAGCTATACTTCTCCTCGAGGAGGTCTCTGACGTTTTAAATTCGAGCTTGGATAAGAATTAATTGGGCTAGGATCTGTGATCCGAGCGTCATGCAGTACAACTAAGGTGGTGAGACTACGTAGATCACTTATGAATAGATGTATGTGTGATGTGGAAAGACAGCTCCAAGTTTTATTTCTGTTGTGTTTGAGTAATATTGATCGTAACTAAACAACACTGTGAAGTGACTTTACGAACTGACGATGCCTCACTTCAGATAATGTCACTATCACCTCACCCGAAATACTTTCATGGGATGGATCACCCATGTGACTTCCACTTATTGTTAGCATCATAGTTGTTATGGAACGCATGTGTGACGTTTATGCTAGCTTGGAAGGCAAACCGAGATACGTCAGTGAATTCCCAGAAGACGAGAAGAGTACCAGCGGTAGGGAAGGGCCAGGGTTTAAACTTCCAGTACTCCAGAAGAAGCGTAGCGCTTAACCTGTTGCTAGCCCACTTCAACCAACCAAGAATAGCAAACTTCAGACAGAAAGCTGTGCTCTTATAAATCCTTTCATTTCAATTTGTAAAAAACATGCAGGTCATAGACATGAGAGGCAAAACAGCACTAAGCAACTGTTTATCAATGAACAATGCGAACTGATTCCCCGCTATAGCTCAGAGTACTCGTGGGCTTGAAATAGCAACAAGAGAAAAGCCCAAATAAAAGTGAATAAAATTCTTATGCATCAACAACATGGGTTACTTCAGGTTATTCGGAATTATCTGTCGGGAAATTTTTCTAATTCCAGATTTCCCTGGGAATGTTCAGGAAGTCCCTATAGAAATACTAAAGTAGGACAATACTCATCAGATGCGCACAAAATATCAGGAGGTGTAACGATATAGTGCTCGGCTAACCAGATTGAGCTCATCCTCGACCTTTTCCTTCCGATTTCGAAGCGTTGGAACGAGGCTTGCACAGAGCAGCTCAATGAATTGCACTGCTCGACAATTTCGGGTCAGCTAATTTTAGACGAACTATGGAAGTGATAGTCTAGAATAGTGCAAAAGGAGCGAAAAAACGCGCAAATCGGCGTATTAAGAAAAATAGAGGGCTTTAATATAGTAGTAGAGTTAGGGTGTTAACAAGAATGTAATGAGAAAAATTGGTGCAACCTGGAAAGCCTCTACAATGACGTGGGAACTCGTCCGAATGGAAGTTGGGTACGTAGTCGGCTGAGCCGGATTTGGTGCCCGTTTTAAGCCCTATCTAGGCCTTTTTCGTCCCAACACCGTCACTTGTGCTACCCTTGGAGATCACAGGTTCGTTATAGGAATTAAGGAATTTGCTATAGGGAGGAATTTTAGGAACCATTCTTACCATGAAGTGTGCCACTGAAAGGAGTTTCAGCGCCTGAGCTTGAGACAAATTTCGATGGACCAACGAGGAGCAAAAGTACGGGTCGAATTTGTAGACTATCCGGCCGTTACAGGGTTGAATAAGCAATAAGACGAAAAGGGAGCCACATTTTCACTTCCGGAAACGAGCGGGTCGTGTTTCTGTGGAGCAATTCCGTGGAAACTTCAAGAACATTCCGAAAAAAATCTGGACTATCACAAAATTTTTGACAGATACGAGCCGAACAACCTAGCAGCTAACAATAAACAAACGATTCCGAGTAAAGTTCAAAACCACCGTAAACGCGATTTGATAAATATTCATGCATTACAACTCATCCAAGGCAATTCTAACGAACAGGGTAGCCGATTCATCAGGATTGTGATGAACACCGGTATTCAAGCGGATCTGCGAATAACCTGAAACAAGCACTGGAATTTTCTTTCGGAAAAACTTTTCCTCATGAAGGCGTCTTTTTATGCTTAGTCGCGAGAAATGCTGACTTCCATATGCCCCCTTCGAGTTGTATGAATACTTCAATTACATGCGGGGTTCAGAGGTTTCTTCATGAAAACTTACGAAAATATGAAAATACTCATTCCAACTGCGAACCAACTTGTAAATCATTAACAATGTAAGGGTCCAGGTACCCAGAATGTTATGGGCCAGACGATTCGCTCACGCCTGTATCCCCTTTCTCTCATTACAAAGCCGGAATGCCTCGTCGAGCCGAAGCGTTGCTCTTTCCAGAATAGATAGTAGAGCATTTTGCTTACGATATCTCTAAAGAAGATGTCACTCTCTGCCACTAACCATCTGGTCCTGTCACAACTCATATTACGCATCAAAGCGCCCAGGCCCCATTGTCAATACGAGAGGGGTAACAGATCCAAGCAACATAACTTTTAAAGCCCTCTTATGGTTAGCTGCTCCCACGTCCCCTGTTACCAACCGTCTACGATCTCATCACATGCCACATTACACACAGGGGTTTTGATTCTCAACGGTTACTGCTGAAGACAGGAGCTTCTGCTTATCTAGTGATCAAAACAGAACTGACCTTTTCGCACACTGGACAACGGAATAGAGAATTCCCCAATGAAATCATTAACTGTAGTAGAATCAAAATCTTTGACACAGAAGCGCAACATGGCTATATCGGGGCAGTAGAGTTCTTTGTCGAAAGACTGGTTCCAGACAGGATTGAACCCTGAAAGGAAAGTCGCAGGTGTAAACTGAAAATGTTGAGTAATTTGGATGCGAAAATGGCTCCGCACTCACCATTATTCTTTATGACCATCGTTTTCCATTTCAGCTCATCCCGTGGTGTTCCAAAAATTTGAACCGTCACGTAGGGATCAACAATATCCTTTCCGGGAGCCGACTTTGGCAGAAACTGGGCACTGATGATTCCAACGCCCAGTTTCACTTTTGGTTTGAAGACACTTCGTGGATCTGAAGTAAGAGCATGCTGCTGATAATTGCACTTGAAGTGAGAAAGAGCATACCGATTCCTTTCAGCAGCATTTCAGGTTTCAGTACGTAGCCGCAGTTGCCATTTATGCGGAATAAACCTGAGTTGAGGTCAAGTTCCTAAATAAATCGGTATAAACACGAAAGCATGGACTGAGATCAACCACGAACTTCGCCAGCCGTCTGCATGTTCATCGCCACGCTCTGAACACCGCAGATCCACGAGGTCATTGGGTGCATGTTCGATGAATCCTGCCGCAGCCCCTGAAATCGTTTGCAACCATTCACAACAAGCAGTCAGGCAGGGACATTGAAATTATCGCCCTGTTGCTGTTTAAAAGAACAGCGGCACGAACTGGTGAGTAGGATAATTTTGGAGGCAGCTATGTACATACTTCAGCTCTTGTACTTTTTCGGAGAAGGTCAAGATGCGCTGGTTGCTCCATCGAATCTAGGCCATCGAGTGGCCACAACGTTCGCTGCACGTTGAGAAGTTTCATCTTACACAGGTAGAGAACGAACTCGATGTTGAACCTTATGTTTACATTGGCACAGCTACAGTACTATCCTCACAGTTACGCGGCTCCGACACCCGGCATATCCCACGATAAGAACTGTTTCCTAGATCTCGTACGACCTCTATCTTCACTACTTTTAAGTAGCTATTTCTTTGCAGAGTCGGCTAATTTTTTTGCATCACCGTGCACATGATCTGACATAAAAACTGAGAGCAAGTAGATTGCAGGTGAGAAGGGAATGTCAGTCTAGAACGTAGGAACTAGTGGAGATTACTGAAGAGTAGTTGGCCCAGAGGCTGTTGTAAAAATGGCAACCAAAATGGGAACCATTTTGTTACTTCACAAACACTTCCAAACCTTTGGATAGCTCTTTGTAAACCGTTGTGCGGTATACGAAAATATCGGGCTTCCTCCTTCGAAGATCGATGCAATCTTATTTTCGGAGATCGATGGTGTACCGTCCATGGCATCTGAAAGAGGGACAAACATCAAAAATGTGAAAAGAAAATACTCTAAGATTTTAGCATATTCCTAACTAACGAGTTTTCACATCGGCATGGAGATTATGTGACAGCTTCACAGCACGCAGTGAAATCAAATCCGAAAAAGCGGGATCTAGAGGAACGTGAGCTGCTGGTCCCTGAAACGGAAGGGCTAGGACAAAAATACTATGTTGCCGCTGTAAACAAGGGCAGAAAGCAAAAAATGTTGTTCCAGAATGGTAACGATTAGCACACTCGTTTCACTTTCACAACACTCGAAACGGAAGACGTGAGCTCAGTGCTAGGAAAAGTCAGAGATTCCTCGCAGGTAACTGAAGCCAGTCCCAAGAGCGCTCATAGGGGTGCGCTTCGTTGCGCGCGTCCGCAGAAACTAGGTCACGCCGCAGCCGTCGCATGCGGAGGGTCAGCCCGCGATACTTGACAGACGTCGCAGTTGTCAGTGAGGCATACGATTTGCGCTTGGCCCACGGCAGTCAGTCAAAGAGAAGATAACACGGACAAAGGCAAAACATGCGCTCCACTGACACTTGATGGTACTGTCATGTCATTGCAAGAACTCAGTGGGGTGCGCCGCGCGCGAAATGGGCAGGGTGACCTACTTTCGACGGACGCGCGCAAACGACGTTCTCCGCGCACATAGTG